ATACATGTCTCTTTTTTTTACTAGTGTTCGCTGTCAAACTGTTTAAAAATGCCATCTGAAGAAAAAGTAGAATAGTCTTGAGTGTTTATTCAATAATACTTTCTTTGTGTATTGTATTATCCACACCAGACAATGGAAAGCATCTAAAAAATGCCGGTTTAGCAAGTCTGAAATGTGAGGAATTACAGGCAATATAAACAAATATGAATCTCTGACGCATATTAAAATTATTATAATTACACAGCATCTAAGATGTGGATAAAATACTGATACCACATCTATCACAGGAAATTATTGTTATTATTATTATCACAGGAATGTTGTATCACTGAAAGGTGAAACAAGTTTAAAATACACACTATACAATAAACAAGAGTTTAAAATACACACTATACAATAAACAAGATGAATAAAAAAAATCATCGTTATGTTGTGTTGCTAAATACTATGTTGTCACAAGCACCTACAGTTGACTCTCATCACTTTCTTCTATATTTTGATAGGTCTTTATAATGTAATGCTAGCAACGCATCCCACAGAAATGTAAACACCATAACCTACCATGTGGCAAATGTCTATCTGTGACAAATGGCATAAAGCAAGACTGAACTTTTCCTCTACGTATGAGGGAGCTTTGACGAGGGCATTTTTAGCTACTGCATCACCATGGCAAGTGAACTGCTTAGGTAATGTCTACAGTGAGACGTCTATATACCTCAGTGCTTCTCTTTAGCTAACAAAGCATATGCTTTCAAAGGCAAATACAAAACTTGAGCCAAAGGGAGTGCAACTGGGATGGTTTCCCCATGATGTTCAACTGTTCAAATGTGACTCTAATTCAGCAGCAGTATTATTAGTTTTATGTAGCCTTAAAAATTAATAAAGAAAACTGTGCTTAAGCTATTCTAGCAGGTAAGCCATTGATTCTTGAAGCCTTAGAAGAACAATATTCTTGGGCAGATCACAGAAAAGAAAACATTTGTTTTGTCAGTTCCTGCAAGCACATTGAAGTGAATTGAAGGCCCAAATTATACCCATGTAAAAAGTGTTTTCCAGACCAACGTTACTTTGGCACATTTATAAACCATTGATGAAAAAGGAATGCCACAGGTGTTATAAAATATTTCTATATAATATTCAGAACGGCCATGTAAAAATTTTTAAGACAATCTCATCCACACGTTAGTCACTCCTGCAAGAAAGTTTACAGTACCTAAACCAGTTAAAGGAAACTGTATTTCAGGTAGCTCGGTGTAGGCTGCAATGCAGCTGGGGAAAGATGTAAATGGCTTGTTAGACCATGCTATGCTCTATGCTTTAACACCTACCCATCTGGCATCAAGAAAGCTAACTAGCTGGAAGCTAGATTGGGTATCCAATCCAGCTCATTTTACATTTGCACTAAGTCCATTTGATAACTCCACTGACACTGTACGTGATCTGAAAGTGAGCATAAATTGTATCTGTCCCCTTGATGAACAATTTTTATCAGTGGCTATTTCCTGGTAGGAAACAAGATGAGATCTTATCACATATTCCCTCCATCCAAGGGGTGGGGAAAAAATCTGTAAGTTCAAATATGTGGAGATAGAAAACACACAGTAGAAGAGGAGGGTCTAGAGTGCTATAAGGGAGTTTCAGTGTGAAGAGAAATCAGGCTCTTTAAGGTCATGTCTCCATGGATAATTTCAGACAGTCAGGAATTAACATTGCCATTTACTGAGCTGGCAGGACATGAGGCAACTTTTGATCAGATGCCAATGTAAAGATGCACAAAAATCTCAAAACACTAATGCAATCTCAGCCTCTGGAATGACTACTGCTTTTTCTTTGTTCTGCCTTCTTATGACGGAGTAAAGGAATGCAATGCTTCAAGGAATTCAAGCGTCATTTGTCAATGAGATTATTAGAGCAAGGCAAAAATTCAAATATTCCCATATCTTAACTATAGACAGCGTACAAAAAGTGTATGGTAAATGATTTCTTCTTTGTTAATGACTTGTACACACATAGTCTCAGACCTAATCTAGAATTCTGTAATGGAAGCAGATAGGGAGTGAACAGAAACATACAGAAATATAACATAAATGTGTAGGGTGTAGGACCGTATGATATCACAATATTCAGTATTAACTTATTAAACTATTAGTTATAAACTTCACTGTTCTGATCTTCTCTGCTGTAGACCATCAAGTAGAAGTGTTAAAACAGAATGGGCCTGACTGACACCAATGAAAGACACCTTTATATACACTGGATCTACTGTTACCCTGTCTTTTAGGTAACTTTTAATACACACAACTGATTGTTTAAAATACATCTCTACATAACAAGATTTGTGATTTATTTCTAATATAAAGTACACAGTCATATATATATATAACATATATATTATATGAGCTTTGGTGATGTTCTAGGCTGCAGTCTCACTAGCTTGAAGATTTTAGTTCTTGCATTTCAATTCTAAGGATTAGTTCTACGGCTTCTTGTTCCTCCCATTACATATCAGTCTTGCCAAAATTGTTACACTAGCAGCCATGCCTCAGAGGCAGGCAAAGTTCTACCCTGTAGGCCTTGAACATACTATTTTCTCTTATATGTCATCCTTCAGTCTGTATGTAGCAATAAAAAAGAACAACCCCCCCCGCCCCGTGATGACACCTTCTAGGAGCTAGACTGGGTTTTGCAAACTTCTCCCTGCCTTCCCTGCTCCTAAATTCCCACAAAACTTTATTCTCCTATGGTTAGACAGCAATAATGAAAAACAAAACTAAGCTTTAAAGCTTTAGATGCAATGTGGAGAAGATGGAGGTTATTGCATACTCCAAAGCTCACATACTGGATAAGTCTTTTTCTGCTGGGTAACTAAATTTCTTCTCTGAGACTTGGGAGTTTTGAATGTAACCCAAGCTCCCAATCTGATCTTGTATGTCTGTGGTCTAATTCTGCAGTTTTGCTTGCAGGGTAGAGAAAAAGCTTAAAGGACTAAAACTGTCAAAGGTAAGAAAAAAATATCCACAGTTCTCTGTGTCAATCACAATATTCAAGAACTGAGATTAAAGAACACGTGATGTTCTAATGGGAAAGACATACCATAGTTGCCAGTGAAATCTTACTGACTCCAGTCATAAGCTTCTCCAACAAGTGCTTTTACATATTGTTGCAAGTCAGGATACAGAACTCTTTAATAGGAGAATGCTGATATACTGCTAAGGCTCTGGCTTTGATAGGGAACACTTTGAGGTCTTCAGTAAAATAGAATACTATTCCATGTACAGGCCTAGAAGCAAAAACAAGAATGTTGAAGTTCATCTAGGAATCTGCTCATACCACATTTCCACAATTAAACATAGATTTTGAGACAGCACTAGACAACCAATTTTATTTTACACTGCCTCTACTTTCCAAAAAAAACCACGTGGACACCTGTGTCACCTTTGGTGCAGTTGACAAAGACAAGAATTTCACTGGTTTAGGAACGATAAATAAGTAGGCAACTCATTAACACAAAAGTAGTTTTTGGTCTGCCAGAAGAAATGGAAACTGATCGGTCAATCAAGAAATATCAAAAAGAAGACTGGATTTTCATCCATTTGTAGGCTGAGGTCATCATCTAGGAAAATCAGATTTACTTCTTCAGGGAACGTTTACATACAGAAGACAAAACCTTTGGTTTTGATTACAAAAACGAAGCACAGAAAAAGATTTAAATAAAACCCTAAACTCTCTGCAATACATATTTCATACTGCCAAATACATACGCAACCATTTAGTGTTTCCTTATTGCTATAAAAAAGCAATTTTTGAAAAGTGACTGCTGATGCAAAAACCCTAGCCAAACAAAAAAACCCAAAACACTACTGAATAACAAGAACGACATTAAAAAATGCCCATAGGTCCCCCATTGAATCACAAGCTCACCACAAGAGATATCATTCTCAGTTTATTTACGTTCCTAAGTGTGAGCATTTATTTTCCCTTATTTCATTCAGAACTCTTTTATAACTAATGCCCCAAATCTACAATCAATAGAGCATAGGCACAGAAATTCCCCTCCATGCTGTCGTTAGCAAGACTAGAAAGACCTATGACTTGATGCAAAGTCCAAGAATGTCAGTGGGGAGTTTTCTACTTCCTTCACTGGGTTTAGAAAGGGCATCTGAGGTCAGCAAATTGCACTCCTTATTCTGTCAGAAATTCCACTGAAGCAGTGCAGTATCAGCCTCCACATAATTACATACATCTTCTTCCTGAAACTGAGGTCAGTCACATTAATCGTACTTGCATGAGAAAACGACTTTTGGAATCAAACTAGCTTTGTAAAACAGAAATAAAATACATACTATACATCGGTTATGGCAATTTTTTGCACTACTCTAAGAAGATGCACTGTTTAGTTTTTAAACTTTTCTATTACCAGAGCTGGAGTTGTTTATAAATGACTAAAGAAATGCCTGTCAACACTGTTACGTTTCAGTACTGATTCTTCCATTACACATCAAAAGTAGTAGGAAATAAGAAGCTCCTCAGGCTCACCTGAGGCAATGCACTTGGGCATGTACTTTGGAAGTAGAGACGGGTTTGTATCTATATTCAATTAAATGTTTTTCTCCATCTTTTAAAATATCAAAAATACTGATAAAGTACATCAATGCATGATGCCAAATTTAAACCAGACATAACAGGGAAACGTTTTCATCATTCCTGCAGTTATCTAGAACTTCAATCATGGGCTACTAGAAAATATAATGAAAGAAAAATCATAAATAAAAACAATTCTTTCCAGGGATTTTTTTCCCCTCCCATATTTGCAATCTGATAATAGGAGTAAAATAAATAAATAAATAAAAGAACATCATCCACAAATACTTCTATCAAGCATAGTTTCAGATCAATCTTGAATCAATGATACAATCCCAAAAGATTAGAATGTATTTGTCATTTGCTGGATTGAGACTTGCAGCTTCACAAACCACACTGTATCAGCAGTACTGAGAATGTCAGTCTCCGTTTTCCTCTGTTGTGGTTGGCTCTTCCTTTAATAAAACGCCTAACTGTTTCTGTGCACATGAGAGGAAAAGTTCCAAACTATGCAGATTTCTCTGACGGACAACTTGATCAAGCTGTTGAAATAATAATAATAATAAAAAAAGATAGATCAGCTTTAATAAAATCTGGAAATAAATGCCAGGGTTTGTCAGCCAAAATTCAACCATATTCAACAACAAAAATTCAACAACCAAATGCGACAACAACAAAAGAACCTAAGTAACTTCTATGCGTACAATTTAGTAACAACTTTTTAATGGAGTATTTGAGTTTCTTCATAATAAAATATATTAAAAGTAACTTTCCAACAGCTGTCAAATTCTACCCCAAAAATTTGAAAGAGCTAAACAGCCTAGCTGCCACACTAGATAAATCCCCACAGCATCTTTTAAAATTGCAGCTGTTGCTTTTATAAAAGATACTGCTTCTGCTTTAAAATGAACACTACATACAACTGCGTATTCAGAAGTTCAAAATCTACTGTTAATTTAAATGGTAGCACGTTTAAATAGTTCCCAGAGGAAAAGTGGTAATATTTTCTGCTTACTTTGTTTATTCCAACTTTTTATTGGAGTCCCCTACTGTCAAGTGATGTGAACTATATCCTTACTTGCAGTAAATACAACGGCCCTTTCTTCCCCACCAAAAGAGATAAGAACACAATAAAAAGACCTGGTAGGTTGTGTCATATAAATGACGTAAAAATATGGTTTACCAAAAGGTATTTGATTTTTCTTAACACCATAACATTAATAAATAAAATGCACTGCAGAATTCCTTTCATTTGAATTTTAAAGTTCAAATGTCAAACAAATATTACAACTGAAAGATGTCTTCAACTTGACTACCCTTTCATCAGCCACAAATTCAACTAAATACATATATAACAATGACACAGGGTGAGACTGAAAGGTACAAGGCAAATAGGACATAAAAGTTATGACACTCAAGAGAAAGGAAGTAAGGGAATTTGGAAGAAGTCCAGCTCTGCACTTCTGTCAAACTGTTGTGCCCAAGACCATAAGCAATGTCTTGAACTCTAACACCAGCAAAATGCTAATGTGAGGCCACGTGGCCCTAGCAGACCAGAGCAACTAGTCTAGCAGGCTGGTGCCAGTCATCTGCAAATGGCCATATTTTTTCAAAAAAATGTATTGTGCCTCATGTATTTAGCACTCACAGCTTTAATTATCGCTTTCAACAAAAACTCCGATCCTGTGGTATCTCTCTGCACATATATGCTTATCATTCAGCAGGCCAGCTAGTTGTTCTAACAGTCACCTGAATGGACATTTTGTTTTATAACAGATACACTTTTTTAAAAATGGTAATACAGAACGCAAGGCAAAGTTAGTGATACCTTCCCACTTCACTTTGAAAATGCACTCAGTGTACAGCTGCAGTGCCGTGATTGAATACACAAAGGGAAACATTTTTATGACCCTGTGCTTTGCTGCTCTTTAAGTTCCTCTAACATGCAAAACCAGGCTCTGGGAGTTTGAATATTTTGGCATTTTGTTTCAACAGAGACAAATGCGTCAAATCTAGTCACAAGCAGAACACACACATATTTTCTAGAAGCCACACAATCATAAAACTCTCTTTCAATAATATGTCTGCTGGTACTTCTACTGCAAATTTCCAGCTGTTGCGCAAATTTTTGCATGTCTTACCAAAAGCAGACATTAGTGCTCCATACATAGCCTGATGTGAACCTAGCCCACTGATTTACAACAGATTTTAAAGCAGATCTAGTTCAAATAAATTTCAGAAAAGTCTGCTCTTGATATATTTAAGTAACAGCTGCTACTAACAAGAAAATGAAAGACTTGGAAACAGCAAACTAAACTCTAGAGAAGCTGTATCTAGAAAAGACAGCCTGGAACAAATGAACAACCTAAACACACTGTTGTGATGGTGCATTTCTTCTGATTTGAAAGCTGTCTTGCCTCCTTCCTCTTCTCTGGTCCAATATATAAAGGACATTTTGCATGGGGAAGCTTGCAGATGTTTTTGTGCATGTGACGCATATTTCTCTGGGGAATGGGCAGATATAGTGCAATTCACATAATATCATCTGTTACGTCTTAAGAACGAACATGAGAAACCTCTTTCTCTAAACATATTATGTCATCAAATTCTGTTGCTTCTGGTAGATATATCAGTTGGAGGAGCTTAGCATGAAACTGATTTTCAGTGGTTTCCTTTTATTGTATATTATATCATCTAGATAGTCCTTTATTGAGCTTTGACCAAGAGCTTTGGCTAAACTCTCCATTTTCTTTTCTTGCAGCCTTTCCTTGCACATTCTGCTTTAAAGAGATCAAAGTAGCTCAGCAGATGTGTGTTCCGATATGCTGCTGTTAACTTTCTTTACCAAGGCAGCAATCTCAAATTGTATACGGTTAAATTTATTTCCCACGTACTAATGTAAATGTTTAATGTGTGTAGTGATTGGCTGCAATATGAAAAAAACATAATTTCTTCAGGCTTGAGAAAGATTTTTAAAGTCTCAAATGAATTAAGTACACATTTGAGGAGTCTTTGTTGAACTCAAGTGGTTAGTTAGTAGTCTCCCTTTGTGCATAAGAAAAGTTTATTGCTTGTTAAAAGTTTATGTAAATTCAATAACATAAAAATTCAGAATTCAGTTGCCCCTTGTCTGCTCAGTTTATGTATAAGCTTTGCCTTGAGCAGTACATTTTAAAATTCTTCCATGCTACAGTAAATGACAAAACACTTTGGAAAGACTTGGGATCTTCACATAACACAAAACAAGCAGCAGCAAAATGATGCTGGCTTTGAAAACAGTACATTTGAATGTATTCAGAAGGAGAACATTCCCATTAATGGAGAAATTGACTGGGAAATAGAAACAAATCCAATGAAGCTTTATTATATATCGTTTAATGAAGTGTTAGCAATGGACACATTTTTTTTGAACAGTGCCTTAACATTGCTGTGCTTCTGCTTGCATAATATACCACGAGATGTGAAAATATGTAAGCAAGGCTTTTTAAATCTTGTTTTTCTAAACAGCCTTCCCTCTGTATTTTTAGGTCTTGTTCACTTTATGGAATGATCTCATTATTTAAACAAACATAAATGGACATCTGGCAAATTCAAACTGAATGTGACTCATATGCAAATGTAATCAGAATGAATAACGTATTAGGGATGGAGCATTCACAACCAACCCAACCCAACTGTTCTCATTCTATAGATACTGAAAAATACACCGTGTTGGTCCAGATCTACCATGAGAGGGCAATTTTCTACATCACACCACCACTGTTACTACTAATCAATGTTTCTCTTCCATCACATGAAATCTATCCACTCAAAGTTCTCAATTTTGTACATTGTGTTATTGTGTTCTATTGGTGCAGCTTTAATTAGCTCAAAGTTTTAATGTTCCTGAACTTCATTGTTTTACGTTACTCAATAGTATCGTTTTAACTCTATACAGCCTTTTTTTTTTTTTTTTTTTAATGAACCCGAGGCTGCCTCTCTATGTGCTTGTATGTAACCTACTGAGGAACTGGCGATATAAGATATGGAACAGCAGCTCCTGAACTCCATAGGGTCCTATGCCACTCCTGAAATTCCCACAAAAATTGAGACACATTCATTTTCCAAAAATGAGCTGATTCTTGTGGGACCTTCTAACACATTCACTGCTGTTTTTTCCCTTCTGTTTAAACCTTCAGTCTACTTTTAAGGTCCAAGTGTGATTCCACCATTCTTTTGGCCAAAGATTAGTGGATGAGACTCCCTGTGGGATCCTGCCTCAGACATACCCCCAGACCACCCAGAATGACGTGCCTTTTAGCCACGCAAGGCATGCCCTGAAGGGAGGCATAGGCCTCAGCAGAACTCCTATCATTGGATGCAAGAATTTGACGCGGGAAATTAAAAGGAAGGCTCACACATAAGTGTGCAGAATACTGCCACCAGGTGACTGCTTTCATCCTGGGCTGCTCTATTTTACTTTAAGTCAATCCATCTTCCTCTGTATCATTTCATAAACCCATAGCCCAAATCAAAGTTAGCAATTATTCTTAGCTCTGCATTTTCTTAGCTTTTATCACACAGCTCAAATCTTCTGTAAAATGGAATGAAAGTCTACATGGCCGATGCCTAAAGTAGAAAATAGTTTCTTACACAAATAACTGAGCATGTACATCCTCCATATTTTCCCCTTGTAGTATCTACCTGCAAATAGATATATTTTTCATGGCATATATGCTTAGCTGCTTCTACTAAATATTCTCCAAACCATTAAATATTTCAAATTGCTAGAAAAGAAACGCAGTCAGAACTCTATAACTAACTACTGTATGTCAGAATTATATTATCCATTACTAGTAACTAATAAAATATCTTATGGAAAATATAACTTCAGGTTTAGCACTGAAGATTTAAGGATGAAATTCTGATCTCACCATAGTAAAGCTATGTTGCATTATTAATCTCACTGTGGCCTGAAGTTCACCCAGAGAAGTGAAGAAAGCAATATTAATGTTACATATGGCTCTTCAATTTTCCCTTTTGTATAAACAGTAAGATGTTTAACTGTGTAATTTCCAAAACTATTTCTCAGATAATACTGTTTTCCAATACCTAATATACTTGTAGCTGTAGAAAACGGTAGCTCCATTTACACAAATATGTATTGAACAATTTACCTGTACCTCAAATGAGAATCTGATGATTAATGTATTCAAATGCAATTCAGCTCACTATTCTGGCTCTGTAATACTGACATGAGTAAAAGATGCAATCTTCTTTTTATCATGAGAGTCAACAAATACAACGACCAGGGATTAAAAAAGAGCAAAGATGTTGAGTAAAAAGTTTTCAATTTTAACTTTATTAATGGTATTTTTCATAGTTGATCACACATATGTACACTGTAAAATAAATAAAAAATATTCAAGCCATTATAATTTAATGAAGCAGAGCATTTTTCCTTAAAGATCGTAAAATCAGAAATCAGCTTTTGAGTCCTGCTGATTTCTTATGAAACTCGTGCAAAGTACATCAAGAAAACATTCTAGCACAGTGATATATA